CCCCACCCATCGGTGTAACAAGCACAGTCAACCAATGCCACCCCTCACTGCCATCATGGTAACAATGATTCGAGGAACTCTTTTCTCGGCTGGCGTACGATCAGGGCGGCAGGCATTGGTCAAACTAATTTCACACCCCTGGTTCTGACTACCCAGGAAAGTTTCCGTAGTGGCTTGCTACTCAAGCACTCTCACGGGCAATCATGAGCTTTCACACCTATACTACCCTGACCATCTGCATCGGTCAGGGCTCACATGATGGGGTAACTCATCTACCCCCAAATTGCACCCCTACTCCCCTTCCTCATCTAACGGCATGGCCATGGCGTTAAGTTTAGAGCTGGCGGAACCAAACTTGCGAGTTTTGTTTCAAATCAGGGCTGAGCGGACAAACCATTTTCAGTCTTAGACAGGTGAAACCCCAGAAAGGGAGCGGATTTTTCTTTTTGTTTCTGCGTTGGACAGGTTTTTGTTTTATACAGGTAATTAAAGGGGGAAGCGGGGAGATTCTGTTAAGACAGGTTTCCGTTTTATACAGGTTTTCGTTAAGGCAAGTTCGACTGTACATGTATATATAAATATGTGCTTTCCTCTTTCCTTTTCTTGCTGTTCCTCTCTTTCTGTCCCTTTAGTTTTAATCTTTATATCGTAATGTCACTCATGAACTAACCTAACTCTCAGCCTTCCTCTGTCTCTCCTTATATTATTCTTTTTCCTCTCATCAAAAACATTTTTTAAAATACTGACCTTCATTTTCCTTTCTCCCTGTTTTCTCATATTTTTCTTGTCACTCAAAAAAACTGACTCTCAACCTCCCTCCCCTTCCCTCCCCTCCTTCTTCCCCTTCCCTCTTCCCCTATCTTCCCTCCTCCCCTCTCCTCCGTCCCTCAGAGAGTCTCGCCAGAAACACGTCCAACTCATCAAGGACCGACGTGTGTTTGAGGCCAAGATCTACAACATGGAGGAGACCTGCGAGGGCTTGATGCTGTCTAAGTTTGGCTGCGTAGTCGACCTGGAGAAGATTGAGACGGTCACTGTGAACCGAGCCATCGAGGAGCTGAAGGAGAAGCTGAGGATGACGGAGATTGAATGTTCACAGGAGCTCAGAGCCTATGATGTGAGTTCCGTTTTTGTCAGCCGTATCCAAGTGCCAAAACATTTTTTTCTGAGACCTCACAAAGATACTGAAAATTCACCCATATTAAAGGGGGAGACATGGTCAAACGAACTGTTACTTTTGTTTTTTAGATGGAGTTTCAAAAAGAAACTATTTTTCCCACTCTGCAGGTTACTTTGGTCAATGTTGTGTTTGATACCGGTATATATGATTATATGATTATATGTGAGGCAGCTTGGTCAAATCAAGCGCTCGTCAAAGTAGTCAAAGTGAAGAAACTGGCATTTTTCTGCAGGATTGTGAATTTTTATCGAATTTTCGTTTTTTGGCTCAACACCTTTTATGCCCATTAAAGAACACATTTCTGTGTGGATTTTACTGAAAAACGTTGATCAACTCTTTATCCTCGACAAGCTGTTCCCAGTGGCTCGTGAATGGAACCCCTGTGCCAGTTAGTCGCTTTCAGTGGCTCGAGTGCATTCCCTTATGACGACTTTAACATTATAATACTTTTCAGCAGTTGCCTAAAACAGGTCTCTTTTAATTCGGATTTCATTCATTAGATAAAGAAGTATCAAAATAGGTTCACTTGTTTTGATTTAATGACCAATTTAGTGACCATTTTGTCATTTTTAGATTTAGTACCAAAAACAGGCCTCGGCATAGTGGGTTTACCTCCCTCGGAGATAAAGAGTTAAGGGCTCAAAAAATGTAAATTTTCAGTTTTCACGGACTCTCAAGCTAAGGAAATAACTCATCTTTGGCAGCCGATTTCTCACTAATTTTACTTATGAAACTAGGTAACCCCTACCTCCTTCATTCGCAAATAAATATCTAGACTTTTCTTCAAGATAAAAGCATATATTTTTTTCCATCAAAAGCAAGACAAATGAACAAGTTTTAAGATGAAACCAATAACCCTACATGCCCAAAAATTGACGAGAGCCTGATTCCACTGCGTCATGACACATACGCTACTTCAAAATAAGAATTTATTTCTTGAACTATAGCAGTAGCTTTTATCAGTTTTATTCATGATGTATAGTTCTTCATGGATTTATGAAAGGATCTGATTGATAGAAACCGAGAGGGACAGAGAAAAAAACAGAGAGAAAGGGAGAGAGAGAGAGAGAGAGAGAGAGAGAGAGAGAGAGAGAGAGAGAGAGAGAGAGAGAGAGAGATAATATACGAATGGATGACTGGATGGATGGATACATAAACATAGATTGGTCAAATCAATAAATAAGCATTGAGATTGATGCTCAAGTACAAATTTTGTGAATGTGCTGAATCTTATAAACTGTATCTGAGCCAACCCCACTTTAATTGCCTTAATGTTTTGAAAACTCTCTTCTGCTATATTTAGAGTAGAAATGTTTGTAACAATCTGTTGACTTGTGTTGTTCAGGAGGAGATAATGGAGCGCAAGGACCGCATGACCAACCTGGTGAGAGACAACACGCGGCGGCTCACACAGCTGGCTATGCTGCTCACTGAACAGAACCAGTACACCACCTCCCTGGACAACCGACAACGCAAAGTGGTAAGATGAAATGAGTTGAGATGAGATGGGGTGACAGATAAGGTTGGATGATATTAGATGAGATTAGATGTGCTGAGATGATAGTTGAGATGAGATGGGATGAGATTGGATGAGATGACAGATGAGATGGGATGAGAGAAGATGAACTGAGATGAGATGAGACTGATGAGATATGGGGAGGGGAAATGAGATAAGATGAGATAAAGTGAGATAAGACAAGATGAGATGAGCTATGATAAGATAAGATGAGATAATGACATACACAGCTATAGTATTGCACAAATTCCTGCTCAACAGCGAACATTATGAAGGTACCAGAAACTAAATTTTCGAAGTAGCTGTATGCCAAATTTATCTGTTCCATTTGATAGGCCTATATCCACTGAGCATTTTGGTACCATTCTTTAACCTCTCAGTCAATTTTTAAGAAAATGGTAGTTGTTTAAAATCTGATCAAATTTGTTAAAGTCAGTCACTGGCTGCAACCCCATGTTTGACAGACAATAAAAGAGTACCTAGTGCACTAAACATCTCCACATTAACAGAGTACAATCACTATAACAAATATATGGAGCCTAATTTTTTTCAAGACTGTGAGATCATTACAAATCAGTATTTTATCACATCAAACACGATGATCTGTCGTTATTTTGACAAAAACACCGAGCGTTGACCCGGCCGGCGCCGCATCGGACCCCGCGGCGAGTGAGTCGGCTCTATACTGTAGTGTACCCCGCGTGCGGGGTCATATGCTTTCCGAGTCTCACGGAAGGATTGATGACCAAAAATGCCAAGCTGATTACTTAATTCTAATAGAAAATGAACTGATCTTTTTAAAATTAATATATTGTTTAAGTCGGTATTTTACATACTTTGTGTAAAAAGTGATCTTTAAACATTTTTAGGGTATTTTTAAAAGCTTTCTATTTATACGGTCGAAGTTTTCCATGTCCTTTGCCACCGAGTGTGACTTTAGGCTTCGCCTTGGATTTTTCAGTCACTATGTTCTGCAGGGCTTTTCCTAGCCTTTTCCCTGCGTGGTTGACACACTCGTGCTTTTGAACTGAAGTCCCAGGATACGGGTCCAGGGCATGCAGCTCAGAGATGGTCTTTGCATCACCATCACTGATCATGGAGACGTACCTCAGCTGATGTTTCAAAATTGATCTGCTCCAGATC